CACACACACACACACACACATCTGAAGATGCATCTGCAGGCCCCGGCAAAAGGGACTCGCATCGGCAACGCCGCCTCCACAAAACAAATCATACTAGCATGCACGCTACCCAAGCTGTGCTTGCCATCATCGAGGGCTGTTGCTGCCGGGTTGCCTTTCTGTGTCAGCACGTGTTGAATCTACTGAGCTGTGACCTCTCATCAATTTGAGCTCTACCTGTCCTGACATCCGCATAAGACTGGCGAAAATAAGTGAAAGCGTCCATGTCTCCAAACGCTATGTAGCCCCCTATAGACGCGGCGCGTGACGTCGCAGGCTGGGCTCCACTGTCCTTGCTGCACACACCCTCTGCAAGGCTCCCGTTCGACTTTCGGGGGCCCCCACCCCATCCACCCGCAAAGCTTGGCTGTCTCCTCTTGACCGGTTGCACGTGCCACTGACTATATATGCGCTTTCATACTCTGAACTCCATCCTGATTTTGCTTTCTTGCAAAAAACTGGCTGAGTTTATTTGGGATCTCATGAGGCGACGCGTGTCAAGCTTCGGGGAGGCACACGGAAGAACGAGGCGGGGCTTCGCAAGTTTTGCAAGACACTCAGGCTGCGGAAATTGCGCCGGGGCAGGCAACGTGGCAAACAAGTTGAGCCTTGGATCATTGGAGGGGATGCACGTCTCCCAAAGTACTGTAGCTTTTTGTCCATGATTTTTTGCCACTTGTATGTACGGCTGAACAATGGGTAATTAGTCGCATATCGCATCGGATCCGAAGCTTAGCCGAAACTAGTATGGAGTTCAAGTTACAAACTTACACATCCAACAAACTGTCCCTTGGCCAGGCCAGCCGATGTAGCTGTTCCCGGCCTCTGGCTGCGCGCTCTGCTCGCTTTTTTCAAGCCTTCTCCTTTCCAGTTCTGATTCGGCTTGGCGCAAGGCTGCCTTGGGCGAAGGCCACTGGGATCTTATCAGGGCGCCCGAGGCAAGTTGCCGCATTGCCTCGCGAGCCTCAAGCTCTTCTGCCTTTTCTGCCTGTGCCTCTAACAGCACAGGGCCGTACGGTCAACAACGGGGAAAGATCTGCGCCTTGGCCAAGGACTTGAGTCGAGCTTCTTCGTGCTCCAGCCTCAACATCAACTGATTTTTTGCCATTCCCCAGTCAGTATGCCTTGAACTTGGCCTCGGATTTGGGCATTGAGCCCTCTGACACCAATACCGATGTTGGACGACTCAAGCCATGTACAATTTGTGTGTACACATAACCCGACACGGCTACTGCACATGAGTTTCTGTCTCCTTCAAGACTTGACAAGCCAGTGGCTCCACCAGCTTCCTTGCCGTGTCCGCATCCGGCCTTTCCAGCGCTTGTCTCAGCTAAGGCGGCTAAGTGTCCTAAGCTCCTGACCTGACCGCGGCGGCCGCGGGCATCTCGTCCCTCGAGGGGCTCTGCGCCTCCGTCGCCATGGGCCTGGCCTCAGAAGTCTGTGGCAGCACAAAGCGAAGGCAGGCCCCTGAAGGCTTTGGCTTCGGCCTGCGTGCCCGTAGAGCCGGTCCTGACGTCGATGCATAGGCCCAGGCTTCCAAACGGAAGCAGCAAACGAGAGCTCCAGATGCAAGCCTCGAAGGATCTCGGCTGAGGCCATCGATCTGAGTTGGGCATGACTCGGGCATGCCGTTGAGACTCGCAAGGTCTTCAAGTCACCGCGCCAGCTCGAGCAAATCTGACTCCGAGAGGGCTTCCAGTACCTGTGCCCCAGTCAGGCGAAGCCCAACCCAGACGGAATGCTTTCCAACCTCGTCGGTCCCAGGCGGCTGTCCGCCAGGCTCGGTAGTGCTTTCGAGCCTCAGGACATTGTCACGCGTATTGATGGTTGGTGGTTGCAAACAGGAGTCGCTAGTCTGCGTGAGTGAGAAGTCCGCATGGTACGTGCCAGCGTCTTCAGCTCCTGCCAACATCCAAGGTGCTCGGAACCTCTCCGGCTCTCAAACTCATGTTGAATATATCGAGTGCGGAGAATGGAAGCTTGGCTGCTTCTGCTTATCTGCCTCACGATCCAGGTAGCTCCTGATCAGTTCGAGATACAGCAGGCACCGCACACGCGTTATGTACAACGTAAGCCGGCATGCGTGCCCCCGCCTCTCGCCATCTGCCTCGTTTTCATCCCCAATACATCTGAATCGCATGGAATTTTTGGAGTCCCCCACCTGGCAAAGTCTGCTGCGACTGAGCAGCGGGCATCAAAGTGATCCTCTGCAGCATCTGGAGCCTGGAATTGCAGCCGGACAGCTTGCTCGGAGGAAACATGGCTGAGGCAGGGGCTCGCGCCGTGGACTGCTCGGCGTACCTCGAGAAAACAAAAGGCAGAGTCGACCTCCCTCCACGCTCTGATCGCACTGGCCTCACAACGCTGGGCAAAAGAGGGGGCGAGGCGACGTGCAGGGCTGAACCCCCCAATAAACGAACAACAGCTGATCAAAACATCAGCGCCTTATTGTCGAGTTTAAGGTATGGGGTCAACCGGGCGGGCTCAAGATACTACCAGCCAAAAGCGCACAAGCGTCTTAGCACGTAACAGCGTCTCCGCGTCCAACAATCGCCTTGGCCCTGGGCTTAGAGATTGGAAAAATCCATGGTTTACGCGAGGACGGCCAGCTCACCCAAGATTTTCAACGCGACCTTCCTCAGCCGCCGCACACTGTTTTGTGGTGGCTGCGGCAGAATCTGCGTGGTTCTCGTCGTTGGGCTAATCTTGCTGAATCTTGCTCTAATTCTTGCTTCTTTGATGCAGACACAGAGAACGGGCCCCTCCCCGCCGAAGGAGCATCACCGCAGCAGTACACCCTGTGTCGTGGCGTTGGCAGTGGTGTCCAGTAGCTCCTTTTGACTTTGGGCTGCCGGTGGGTCCTTGCCCTTGCTCTGCGGATGCTGCTGCCACCAGTTCATGGTCTTGCTTTTGGGTTGAAGTCTCGGACACCGCGTGTGGACTGTTGTTTGGATTCGGTGGCCTTCCCGATATCGATGTCCTGCCTTTTGGCGACCACTGCAGAGGCTGAGCGAACAAGAAGCCTGATGCCCTGCACAGCATTGCCTCGACCTGCCAATGAACCGTGAACCTGTGCCAAGACAGGTGAGCGGGTCTCGGAAGTTGGTGTAGGGTACTTCGTCTTCTTGTGCAAATTTGCAGCTACCTTAATGGCATGGAGCCCGCCCGCAAACAGCAAGCAAACTAAAGTCGTCAGAGCGTCGGGTCCTCACGTCTGAGACGGCTAAACTGCTCCAAGCTTCGTCCCCCACTTTGTGTCATCCAAACAAGAAGCTGCAACGTTCTCTCGACAATCGAGCTGCCGAGGATTCAAACTGTGGGCTGTGGCCGAAATTGAAAGCAAAAAGGGACTCCTTCTCCTTCTCCCTTGATTGCTTGCTCGACTCTACCCCCGCCGGGCGGGCGGCGGGGGGCCATTCGTTCAGCCCAGCGCCAATGGCCAATTCTGCATTTAGCATTACACCTGCAATTGTAACCCAACTTGCCCGCCTTTAGCCCCGCCCCAACCCCACTGACCAAACCGAATCTCAGTGCATCACTGTCTGTGCCTCCCAACCCTGAACCTCGGCAGGCGCCCTCAGTGCAACACAGTGTCTTGAGTACTTACTTCCAAAAATGTCTCTGTCTTTCACTCACTCTCTCGCTGTCCCTCCTTCGCACAAATCACAAGTTGCCAGTGACTCTCCTTGCTTTGTTTGTGGTTCGCTCTCTCTCCGTTCTGGGGCCGAAACAGAGGATCAAGGTTCTGTGGTCGAATGGACTTCACCGTCCCATCCGGCCTGGCTTGACTTCATGCCGCCCGTGTCCAGCACACCACCTGCTGCCAGTCCCGCTGGGCTGCATGCATGCTGACGATCCAGCGCCGGGATGCTTCGTCCTTCAAACAGATTTGGCCAAACACCCCAAGCACCTTGTCCATCCGACCGAGGACTTGGCCCACTTCTGAAGCAGCACTTCCGCGCCATTCAATACGGCGGCCTGTGCATTGCATCGGCAATGCCATTTTGCAGCAGCCGCCGTGCCACGAGCACCGCACGTTCTGCAGGCCACTCACCTTGCTAGGTCCAACGCCATGATGCGCATGTATGCACATAATATGTGTACGAGTATACACTGCTACGAAGTACAGCCTAGTAGCCCCACATTAGCAAGGCATCTAAGCACCAAAAACAGAACTATTCAGCGGCGTAACCTAGGTTGGATCGTGCTCACCGTTGATAGACGAGGGCAGGGGCCGGTGTAGGTAGATATCTGCCTTGTGTATATATATATATATATGCACACATACACGAGAGATACACCTTTAAAGCCTATTTGACGCGCTCTTTGGGATAAGAAAACTATTAGAACAATTGAGATAGTTTCAATTCAAAAAATTCAAATCGACACAGGGCGATCTTAATTAATTTAAAAAATTTGAGGACCCAAATTGTTGAAATACTTGTTATATGTAAAAACCCACCATCATTTCAATTGTTCCAACTAATGAAACAAAGAGGAATCCTGGGCGAACCATAACGAAAGAACCAGGTGTCCTTTAAGGCAGATCAACCGCGATTTACTCAAATGATGGGGTTCGGCGGCTCGGGCTCACCCGACCACCCGATTTCAATTATTTCAATTATTTGGGACCCTAAATAAATAAAAATTGAAATCCCTATCTAGTTGTATAAACCCCCACCATCTGAATAATTGAATCAATTGAAACAAGCCCGATTTCAATTATTTTGGGTGGCACATTTTCTGAAATAGTTGAAATAGGCCCGATTCCAATGGTCTCAATTATTCAAAGCGTAGGGTTTGGCTGCTAAGGCTCACCCGACCACCCCATTTCAATTATTTCAATTATGTGGTGCCCGAAATCATTGAAGTAATTGCTATTTCAATTAATTCAAATCGTGGCGGGCTATTAAACCCCCCCTCTCCGATCCGTTCCTGCCCCTTAGCCCCCCTCCGCCCCTACCCTCCACTCCCCACCCCCCTTCCATCCTCCTTCTCTCCCTATCCTTATCCACGTCATTCCCTCGTGATTTGTATCATATTTTATACTATCTTTATGATATTTGTGTTATATGTGTAATTTTGCTTGCCCAGCAAAATTTGGTCCAATCCTCTCTGTTGTCGTTTCCCATCGGTAACATCAAGAAAGTAAGGGGAACTGCTAGTCGGCAAAACTTGGCCCAATCACCTCCGCCGTCACTTCCTACCGATAACCAAAGAAATGACAGCAAAGAGGGTTGGACCAAAATTTGCCGACGAGCTGCTCCCGGACTTCTTCTAAAATCTTACGTGTATCATCTTTTGCTTATTATCTTTGTCATATTTGTGTCATCGTTTCCATCTTTACTTGCCCCGCAAAATTTAGTCAAATCCCCTCTGTTGTCATTCCCATCGGTAACATCAAGAAAGTAAGGGGAACAGCTAGTCGGCAAAATTTGGTCCAATCACCTCCGCCGTCACTTCCTACCGGTAACCAAAGAAATGACAGCAAAGAGGGTTGGACCAAACTTTGCCGACGAGTTGTTCCCGGAACTTCTTCTAAAATCTTACGTGTATCATCTTTTGCTTATTATCTTTGTCATATTTGTGTCATCTTTATCATCCTTGCTTGCCTGGCAAAATTTGGTCCAACCCTCTCTGTTGTGATTTTCCATCGGTAACATCAAGAAATCCACGGTAACAGCTAGTCGGCAAAATTTGGACCTGTAACCAAGGAAATGACGGCGGAGAGGATTGCACCAAATTTAGCCGACGAGCTGTTGATGGAATTTCTTCCAAAATCTTAGGTGCGTCATCCTTTTTATTATCGTTATCATATTCCTGACATCTTTAAAATTTTTGCTTGCCCGGTTATAAGTTTACAGGCTTTGTTCCCGTTCAATGCATGTATGTGTGTTCAATTCTCCTTGTCTTTTGGTTCTAGCGCACGAGAAAACGAGAGGTGTTCCCATTCAATGTAGATATGTGTGTTCACTTCTCCTTGTCTTTTGGTTCTAGCGCACGAGAAAAGGAGAGGTGTTCCCATTCAATGCAGTCATGTGTGTCCACTTCTCCTTGTCCTTGGGTTCTTGGCCACGAGCAACGGAGAGGATTGGACCAAATTTTTGCCGAGGAGCTGTTCCCGGAACTTCTTCCAAAACCTTATATGTATCATCCTTTTCTTATCTTTAACATATTTGTGTGATCTTAAAATATTTGCTTGCGCGGCAAAATTTGGTCCAACCCTCTCCGCTGTCATCATGTCATCCCTTACCGGTAAAACAGAAGTTACAGCAGAGAGGATTGGGCCAAATTTTGCCGACGGGCGATGTTAGCGAACATCTAGTCCTATCGTTATTATGTGCATTGCTTTTTTTCTTGCCTATGAGAAATGGCAACAGACAGAAGTAAACCAACTGTTGTCAGCGAGATGCTATCGAAAACTTGATCCTATCCTTGGTCGTGGTTGTGATTGTTTATGTTGTTGCTACTGTTGTCATTGGCCGCTGCTGTTGGTCACAGTGCTTGTGAAAGTGTTGGGGGTTTGGAATTGATGTTAGAGTTGGAAAACTGGAACTTACACTGACTCACACCAAAGGAACGACAAAGACCAACAAAAAGCATCCAAGTGTACTGCGTATGACCATCCTGATCCTTATCAATCTGCTAGATCAGATACTGTACCTGCCCGCTTGTTTGACATTTAGTAGAAGCTTGTTGTTGCTAACAATCCATTTCCGGCTACATGATGGCCACAAACGGATTGTCACATAAGATATCTGATTCCTCCAGTATGGGTGCCGTTCGCCAGGCCAAGCTTCTGAAAGATATGGAAAGTCAATGTTAAACACTGTATCACCGTCTGTCCAAAACTTTTTGGATTTCGGTTTATGCAATATATAACTCATCCATATAATATTCAGCTAGGAGTCTTATATTGTATATATCAAACGCTAGCTAAATAAACCCTAAAGGTATCGGGCACATATATATATATATATACATACATCTGTGTATAGGTGTGAGAGCTGAGTAAGGCCGCTTTGCTCTCAAGGAGGCGTGTGAAATTAGCACGTCAGAGTCAGAGATCAGACTTTGCCAATCTCTTAGGCTCAAGACCACGCGCACTCTCGCCTTCACTACTTAAGTGAGCTGTGCACGACTAGTTACTTTAGGGCAAATAGTGCCATCCTGGCATGCACAGCGTACTTTCGCAATGTGTGTACATGGACGTGCATACACTCGGCACTCATATGAATGCATCTTGGCTCTAAGCGAGGAAGGCGGCTTCAACGAAAGCTATTTCGAGTACATGGACAAACTCAAGGAATGATTTGCCAGACAGTAAGTTAGTAGGTTCGGCTTCTGCCGCGACCCGATCTCAGGTCGCAGCCCTGGCACGGCCTCCAACTGCCAGAGCCGCACTTTCGGAAGTCCGAGGCACCGATCGATGGCTTCCGGCCTCTCCATTTCTTGCATCTCAAAGAGACCTACCCGGCTACCCCTGGCCAAACCCCGATCCTCCTGCGCTGCCACCTGCAACACACGCTGGCAGCAGCGTCGAAGCTGACCCAATGTGCGGAGAAGCGACACCAGGGCTTTACAACGAATCTCACACCCTTCACCTTTCGACTGCAGCTCCAGCAGCGTCGGGCTCGCACACGCATGAACGAGCCTCTGCAGCGAGGACTTCGTCAGCGTTTCCTTCGTCCAGCCTTTGGAAGGTCTGCACGCTCACACAGTATGTTTACATAGAAACATATATATATATATATACCTAGCTAAGTCATAGAACCTGGAGTTACTAAAGGTGGGCTTTGGCCTGCTTTGGGGTCCCCGCAACCATTGGCCTGCTAGGTCCAAGCGCCCATCACAAGCTCTCCTTGGCAAGGCTTTGAGGCTGGCGGGCCCCGGGGGGCAAAGACGCACTGCTTGGGGTTTCGCAAGGCATGTCGAGCAGCTACTTCCTGTCGGGAGCACATGAGCACCAAGGCTAGCCTCATGTTTCCATCAGGCTCTGGCAGAGAAGCCCAAGTCCGTGAGCTGCCTCACCTTGAAACCGGAACCAGGCAAGTTTGGGTTCTGCAGGGCAGCCCATGCTGCCTTGTCCAGGTCTGCTGGCAAGGCTTCATTCAAAGGTTGACCGCTCTGGCTTGCGCTTGCTGCAGCTTGCGATCCTTAGCATCCCCGATGCACCAGGAAGATCCGTGCCGAACATGGGCCAGCATGGGTCACATGCCGCTCAAACTGAAGCGTTTCGCTCGCTCCCGAACCTGGCTGTGAGCGTTTTGGCCGGCCGAACTCGCAAACGGAGACTCGATCGCACCTTCCCGAACCTCAGAAAACCAGTTTTGCCAAACGACACCCGTGTGAGATGCTTTCTGGAAGAGTCAGAGCCACCGGCTGCGTGTTGGCTCGATCTTTGGCTATTCCTGGAATCGTCATGCGCAGCCGCAGTGCAGCGTATACATGCAGTGCATCCGGGGGGCGCAGTACCCGCGACATTTTGCCAACAGCCGCCCGGACATCCTCAGACATCCTGGCACCACGGCTTCGCAGGCTATCGCAGGCTTATGCAGGCGGTTGTGGGAGCCCAGGCCTTTCTGAGTCCGATTGGGCATTGGCACCTACCGTCTGCTTTTCTGAGGCTCTGTTGACATGATCAGTCTATAGGGTCTTGGGGACCAGGATTCGGTCGTGGCGATCATAGTTATAGGAGAGTTTGAGGGAGAAGCGTTCAGCTTTCAGCGCATAGGAGAGCTCTGCTTCAAGGAAGCGGCTGCGGCGTACAATGACCGAAGTTGTCTTCGTGCAAGTCACGTTTGCTGCCTCAGGCTGGAGGCTCCGTCGTTTTTCAGAGCCGCTCGATGAGCTCGTGGCACTGGGGATGGTGCGTGGCGTCTGCCTTTGCATCCTGCATCGGTACGTCTTGTTGTACTGCGGTGCCAGATGCAGAAGCCGACAGCTCTGCTGTGATCGGTTTCAGCCGCCGCACACACACACAATAAATAGCCCTCCCGCACCTTCCTTCCTTCAGAAGTAGGTGTGCTCACAACCCCTGCCTGTGACTGCTCTGGCGCGTGTGTCGGCCATCATGAGATCAGGAATGGAAAAGTCAATCGTGCAGAGCATCTCGTAGTGGAGCTCCAGCCCAAAAAGGCTTTGAAAGTCGGACTCGGCACGGAGTTGAAAAGTGAGTGTGGGAGTCTCGGAAGCCAGTTCTCGAGCCATGGCCTGAAGAAGCTCCTTGTCAACCTGCAGCGTTCCTTCTGCCACCACAGTTGCTGCAGATTGCGGTGGGAGCGACATGGGCCCGGTGATCCCTGCACCCATTCTACGGCCTTCAAACACCAAGTGAATCTCGCCCGGCTTGCTCTCAGCCCCAACTAGATTCGGATTGTTCACTTCCACCTCTGCACGGAAGACTTGATCTGGCACAGTGGCTGTGTCGATGACCGAGGGACCGCCCGAGGCCGCCGTGACCAAGCTCATCAACGCATCCACGTCCATCTGAAGGCTCGTGAGCCGCCAGGTCGGATCACGCGGCCAGAGGAGTGCCATGGAAATGCCCAAAGCAATGACCACCAGCCAGGCCAAGACACTCGTGACCAGGCAGCACTTGCGCCAACGACCGTCTCGCCAACACGGAGCCTGCAGTAATCCAGAGCACGGATTCACCTTAGAAGCCTTCGTTGGGGACCCGATAGAAATGGCTTTGTCTATTTCCGATTCGAAGTCCGGTGGAGCGGAAGGATCCGTGTCTGTCCTCACAGAGGCTGGCCGCACAGGAATGGATGCCTGTCTTGCTGCAGGGGCATGCAGGGAGGGTTCCCTGGCGATGTCGTCGAAGTCATCGATCTGTGAAATCACAATTTGCACCCGCGCCTCGCAATCAGGCTTATCGCCCTTCCTCTGACCGAGGAGCAGAATCTAAACATGCAGCGAACCTGCGAGTCGATCTCGTCAGAGGCATCTGATGCGACGACTCCGCGAATGGCACCTTGCACGCAAGTGTCTTTGAAAAGCCGGTCTTCAGAAAAAACACGCCAAATTTTGACATGCGAAAAGGGACAGCTTTCAAAGGATGTGCTGTTTCAGGCGATGGGTCTGTCGCCACTACCCCGGCTCTGCCCACTGCGAGCACTGCGGGCACTGCGCATGCTCTGGAGCTTGGACACGCTTCGCGCAGGGCTCGCAGGGCTCGGAGGGCTCGGCGGCTCATCAGCAGCCGGCAAAGTTTGCTGGGCTGCACTTTGCCTCGGAACTTCGGGAGGGACAGGATTTAATAGTCCACAGCAGGGAAAATGCCGCCGAGGAGCGGCAGCAGCACGGGCATTTTGTGGGGGCACCCGCAAGCTTGGGGCTGAAACCACGATGTGGCTTGCGATACGGTCGTGCTCATGAGCCCTCACACGAAGCAGGCTCCCTTTCTCGATCGAGCACAATACGACTTGTCGCATGTGGGCCAAGGGTTTAATGCTTGCGCATCTTGAGAATGAGGATAGCATACCGGACTGTGAGACGCAGCCTCAAATGTTAGCTCATGCTTACATCCCAACTGCAGTTTTGAGCAAGTCTACCTGCTCGGGGCTATGCTTTGCTCAATGCTGGCGTGCATGGGAAGGTCGTATCTAGATCTTGGGGTCGTTTGCCTCGTGTCTTCAAAATCCTGTTGTCTGCAGTCGCGGGTTTCAGTTTTGCGCTACATTCGCCTGAACTCGACGACTCGACACCGAAGCTCGGAGCCCCTCAGACCTCCCTAGTGAGGCACTGTCCCTGACATTCCCTGACACTTGCCATAAGCCTTAACTGAGTGTTGGGGTGATACCGGTAGGAGGCGCTGCGCTCAGAGCTTCTCCATGGTGTCCCAGGCACCCACTGCCTGTCTCCAGTGCTTCCCACCTACCCAGGTGAAATCTTAGCTGGCCTCCAATAGCTGCGCCGAAAGGCAGGCGACCAACACCTCATAGCGCTGAGAGAGCCGTCTTCTATCCACAGAGCAGAGAGGCCCCCGATGACCCCCCACCCCCGCGATGTCGATGACCGTGGAGAGCAGCGGTCCACTGACCTGAAGGCGGCCCCGAATTCCAGCCGTCACTGAAAACATGCCTGCGCCGTCCGTGCCTTCGCCGGGTCTGCCTGCGACGGCACTCCGACCCTTCGACATCCCACGGAATTCTGAGACTCCCACGCCAGCCCGCTGGAGCAGAAGAGGGGCGCTGGCACCAAAGAGAACGGAGAAGGACACCTCCGCCCGGGCTTTGCGTGGAAAGTTCGGATACCCCCAAGAGCGAATACACGACGATCTTGGCGAGCAGATTCCGAGCCAATCTGAGGCTTCCACAATTGCACCCAACATGTTTGCTTGCGAACTTGTGAGTAAGTCTTTCTCGCATGTGGTTCGAAAGCACCTATAGGGCAGCAGGTGCAGAAAGGGAAGATGCCCGATGATAGCAGCATGCGCGCCATGCATTTGTTGTTGAAGGGACCGCACGCAAACGTGAGTGGTATAACCGGGGTGTTGCGAAGGTTACACGAGACACAAATCATTGGTCAAGGTGAAGACTGAATCATAATGGCAAATTCCGCAACCATGATTTCGATCGCATGCATCATCGTGGTTTGTTGTTAAGCATGCTTAACCTTTGTGGTGAACGAGACCCAGTGACGTCCCCTTCACTCCTGTTGGTAGGTCAGACGCGTGGCCCAGTAATTATCATCCGCATTGAGGAAATCAAAGCTACAGGGGCTCTCTGACATCAACGACTCACATGGCTTCCCCAACCATGCTTCAGCAGGCGTATTGGACATGTCGGCGTGGTCAGGCCGTGGTGTAAAGCCTAAGCAGCTCTACGTCGGGCATCGTCGTCGGGTCGAGAGGCACCTACCTATATGCTTTGAAATGAATGCGCGGGCAGATTTACGCCCTAAAAGCTGTATGGCTTTATGACAACATGCAAAATTGACACGATGCACTCCTGACGTGTTGTATTCCATGCAGTTTGTGATATTTCCGTCGTTGCGCCATAATTACCATGCTGATCGACTGCTTCCTGGAAGCTTAGATTGAGTGCGTGACCACATGCTTCCTTGAATTCCGTGAACCCAAAGACTTGAACGTCCGTGAACCAAGGGGCCACTTGAACGTAACTCGTGGGGATCTCGGGGTAGTGAGTGGTGTGAGGGGATTTGAGGACCAGTTGAGGACCAGTAGGAATGCGAATGCCGTATGACCATCTAGATGATGTAACCCCAGTGTACGAATGCGTCTATAAGATCCGATTCAGCAGGCCCCAACTCCTCCACCGGCCCATTAACTACTCCAGCGTGACAAGCAGCAGCCCACCACCCCGACCTCAAATCCATGAGGCGCACAGCCAACAACGCATGACTTCCACGGTGTAACAACGGGTGCTATGCTTGACAACAAAAGAAGTTTGCAGTTCTTTTGCCCCCTCGCATTGCTGAGAAACTATGCTGTTGAACCTGAGGGTATCATCGCGAAGCTTTCCATAACAAGCAATGGTCAGCTTCAATACCGCATGATTCCCATTTGATTGACCACTCGATAGTCATGCTTCGTGTGGAAATCTCACCGGGAGAACCCGTGCGCTTACGAGCTCGGTCCCCACACGTTGGCTTGCAAACTCGTGATTAAAGCACCTAGGAACCCGATGATAGCAGCATCTTCTTCCGGACCAAGACTGGGCCCCGCCCAGGCCCCGCCGTAACGGCCATGGCAAGGGCGATTGCGAGCGCATCGGCAGCCGAGCCTCCGAACCTGGCCGTCCCCCATCCAGCCAACTCTCACTGCGTCGCTACGTGGACTGAGGCCCCCACAGCAGGATGCGGCCGGCGATTCCTTCCGTGCAAGCGGCACATCTCTCTCCCCAGTCTGGAAACTGTTTCAGACACAACGCTTGGGTCGCGTCTCACACAAAGTTCGGGATCAACATGGAAGCATCCGCAGTGCCGCAGGCCGAAACGCCCCGCAGGCCTAGCGAAAGAGTGGCGGCAATTCCGAGTGCCACCAGGAGCTCCTGAAAGACACAGAAGAACAGCAAAGGAAGCACACAAACCGTCTGTTGGGGCCTTAACTTTAGGTCTGTTCTTTTCTCATTTTGGCTCCTTCCTGAGGACACGCCAGAAATCAGCAAATGTTGGCACCTGTAACTGCAAGCTGCATGCATCGCCACTTAGCGTTTGCGGAACATGCGATCCGGGCTCTGTACCAACTCACCGGTTGCGAGAGCCTCAAAGTTGCTCAAGGAATCGCTGGGCTGCACAGCGGCTGCACTGCTCTTCTCTGCCGGCCTGCAGAACCAGCGAGGCGGCCTCAGGCGGAAAAGGCCGGCTGTGGCGCTACCGCTGTCGGCCAGGTAACTGGACAAGGCCTGTGAACCAGCGTTGCCGCCGCAGCCAACAAGGGCCGTCAGGTAAAACGCGATGATGAGGTGCCTTCAGCCACGATCTGCCGACCTTCTATCCAGCCTCATCTGAACAGTACCGGGCTTCTGCAGGAGAACATCGAAGAATTCCAAGATGGCTGACGAGACCTGTCCACATTATGACCATGAATCGTGTTCAACTTCAGGCAGGCAGGAAGTCGGGAGCGTGCCGACAGAAAGACAAGCAGCCCCAGAAGCCAGGGCCTTCAGACAAAGAACCGTGAGAGGGACTTAAGAAGGAAAGTGGCGCACCCCTCTCGGGATCAGGGCAGGCGGCCATACAACTCCGTCTGCACACTTTTGCCAACGTACCTGACGGATTCTGCCGCTCCCCAACTCGAACTTTCAAGTCACTGCTGAGAGGATCGCGGCTCGGGCGCAGATGAATACAAATCGCATTCTTCCTTCATGCTGAGATGCAGGAATGCAGCGAATGCAGGGTTCTTCGGGAGCCTTGTCTCCAAGACCCAACAAGCAGTCGAGCGGGAGCTGCCGCGGAGCCTGTGGGGCGAGCCCAGGCCCGACTGGACTGTTGGCCGAGTAGAGCCGTACTGCGATGTACCGATGTACTGCGTTTGCATCTCTTTTGGCACCCCTCTTTCGCCCTCTCCTCCAGAAGGTCTGCCAAGTTGATGCACGCAAGACCTGGGTCCTGCCCAGCTATATAGCAAAAAGGGCAGAGCTGAACCTGCAGGTGCCCAGCGCGTGCCTGTGTGTCGTCGCCGTTTTGGGCGACCTTGCAAACTTCGACATGCATGCGGCAATCCAGGTTCCGAGATTTCCCTACCAAGAGAGCCACGATGCACCAAGCATAATTATGCAACATTCTGTCATCAATAGTCATTGTCTGCATCTACGCCCCGCTTCTGCTTCACAGAAGCTTTCACATTCCATTCATGTCCAGAAGGCTCTCTGTCCGTGGCATGAATGAAAGCCGCCTCTCGCGCGTTTGTAATGTGCTTCCCTTGCTGGACCGAGGTAGAGCTCATGAGCATATGTGGCATGGACCTTTAAAGTATCATTTGGCAGTGCCTTGTGTTCATTGCCCCTGAAACACACGGAGGCTCTGAAACTACATGCTGCGTCGCACCAATGGAAGGATCAGACTAAGTCCGAAGCGGCTCTACCAGACTGTGTTCCACACAGCATATGGAATTGTGCGACGACGTCTTCCATTCACTCATCCCCTAGGTAGTCATTCATTTCCATCTGCACCCAACCCTCCACACCCCACGACCAAAAAACTTGTAACAATCTACGGCAGCTGTTGGAGGGCGCGCAGGGTCAGGCGCGGAATGCTGCAAAGGATGAGAAGTGTAGGGGAGTGGGATGAGGCAGGGTGGTGTCGTTGCAGGCAAGTAACCCATTCAAGGATGGCAGGGGTGGTAGGAGTGAAAAATGTTCTGAGAGCCATGGCAAGCTTCTTTTGGAGAGGGTTCCATCACCCTTCATCCACCCCATCCCCCCTCCCTTCGACCATCCACGCCCAGAGATTCTTTGCGAGCCAGACAGCCACAAATGCCTATCCGTCCCTCCTGCCGTTCTTTCCCGCTCCTCCAAACTGGTAGGGTGCGGAATGGGACGGAAAGGTACAAACACAGGGGGAGATGAGGAGGTTTGACTAGGCAGGGTGGCATAGTTGCATGCAAGAAACCACGCAAAGACTTCATCCCCTCCCCCAGCCATTTCCCATCCAGCCGTCCCCCCTTTGGCCTCATCAGTGTGAGAATTCCACTTGGGGTTTCCAAGAGCATGTTGGTGACATGCCCCTTCAACGAAATGGGGAAATGCTGTTGAGAGTCTGTGAGACGGCAATGTGGGGTAGGGTTGAGATGGCGGACCTGGAATGCAAAGGAGGTTAGAACAAGAGACACACAAAACCTCATGCCAGGAGTGAAGCGCGCAGAGCCTTGGGAAGCTTCTTTTGTGGCCGGCCCTTGGCGGGGTCAAACCTTGTCCAGCTTTACCCCACCCGTCCCCATCCACTCATGCCCTCTTCATCCACACATTTCCACCCGAGAGAGATTTGAGAGCCAGTCATGCCCATCCCCCCATCTCCGCTCAGCATCCAGCCATCCCCTCTTTGTCCAGTCAATCTGAGAACTTGATTGAGTGCTTCTGAGAGCATACTTGCAAGCCCGACGTGGTGCCTGGTGGGTGGTGGGACGCGGAGAGTGCTTTCGAACATCTATGAGAACTTGTTCGGTGGTGGGGTCGCGTGTGGGAGAAGGAGGAGACAAAGCGCGCAGGGAGTCAGGAATCCGGGGAGTTGAGGATTCCTGCAATACGTTCAAGGTTCGGTAGTACCTCTTGATCTGCAGTAAGGGACAAGCAAGAAGCAATCAATGTTGCAATTAAATCGATGAACTAAAGAATGAGTGCAAGATTCAAGCCCCCCAAGAAATACTCGGATCGAGTGTCCCAACAACCCAAAAATCAAATCGCGCAAGGCCTGTGGATCTTCGGCAGAGGGAAGGCAAGAAACACTGCTTACTTTCTGGTTTCTTAAACAAACGCAGGAAAGCAAATAGCTGGGCTATTTCTCTCAAGTTAGAACAATAAATCGCGTTTGAATTGTCGAAATTTGTAAATGCATGGGCCAGCTGTTTGATTTGGATTTTAAAGCTTTCTGAACCGTTCAATGCTTCCTAAATTTCGTCTCCCTAGGTTAAAGGGCTTTGGTCAACCCAACCCAGACGCTTTTGAAACATCAATGCGATTCATATTTTGTACAAACCTTAAGAATTACATGGGCCAGATACGCATTCAGCGCCCCCCGGCTTTTTTCGAAGAAAAATATTGCTTCTTAAATTTTCTGTTCCTTAGGTCGAAGATTTTTAAGCTCTTTGAATTGAAAAAGAACTCAGTTCACCAACTTAAAACTTAATGGGCCAACTGTTGTAAAGTGTATACAAATTCATTGCTCCTTGCCTTTCCCTTACCCCAGATCCAAAGCTTTGGCCCAACAAAAGGTTACGTTGGAAAAAGATTCAGTGCGACTTGATGCTTCGAAAAACTTGAACATTAGACGAGTCAGCTATGCATGTTTCAGTTTCTTGAACTTTTCTACAGAAATACCTGTACTTAATGAATGCTTCTTAAACTTCCTTTTCCCCAGGTCTACGGGCTTTGGCCCATTTAATTTTATGTTTGTAGAAAGAACAAGGCGATGTATTTGTAGTTTTCCCAAAAAGTCTGTAGAATGTTGATTGCTTTATGAATTCGTGAAGGCTGTATCCGTAGCAATGATGAATGCGTCTTTAAACAATAGTGGATGCTATGTTCTACATACAAAGGTACTACTGCATGTCGAGAATCATACGGGCTCGGGTCCGCCTCAAGCAGTGATGTGAGACTGCAGAGACCTGCCGGGGCGGGCCTTCACAAAGAACACGCCGTCTGGCGCGTCTCCTACGCACACCGCATTGGAGCCTCGCAGCGCAGGCCGGCTAAAGAAGCCGTCTAGGAAACCGAGAGAAGCCGAGAAGGCCGCGGAGAAGTATCCGAATGACCTCGTCGATCCGCATGTCTGGCCTCAGCTTCCCCGGTGAGGTCACTTCCTGGAATCCGCACCCGACGTGAAGCGGCAGAGTTCTATTCTATATAGGCCGTGTAGGCCAATGTTTGATGGGTCGGGAAGTCGGGGCCGATCAACGGCTCGGCAGGATCGGCTATCGGAGACGGATTCCTACAGTGCCTTTGGCCTTCTGACCGCGGGACGTGCAGAGAAGGATTCGTGAGGGCAAGTGTCTCATCCCATGAGGCAACGGCCGCAGCGTGATTGGGGAGCTAGATGGAGTCCTGCAAAAGATGCACCACAGCGCCACTGAACTACCAAGGCAAACGCTCCAAGGTTGTGGCATGACTGGCTGGCTGGTGACCCAACGATTTGGCGGAGGCACCTGGAACCACCAGCTTGCAGGAACATGCCTCAATGGATTGAGACCAGCCTGCTTCATCTCGCCTGCCTGACTGGGTTTGCACGTCATTCGGCATCTGCGACATCGCCAGCCTAGTGACTTGGCTTCAAGGCGGCGCGCTTACATCAGCCAGCACGGTTCTCAGCCAAGCCGAGTAGCCAGACAGTGTCGTCACAGATGCTGTCAAGAATGCTCTTGGCAAGTCTCGGTGGTACGACACAAAGTTATCCTTGCAAGCTGCGGCGACATCAATCTCCCCCGGTCTCCTGGGGGCGTCGGTCCTTGTAGCGATCTTGGGGTATTCGTCTACGCTGTGGACCTGCATCTGGCAGACCGACAGACGGACAGTTACGGACAGTCCAGCCTTCGACAATGGGGGCTGGCCATGCCCAGCACGTCTTTGAGCACATGGGCACCATTGAATGCGAGACATGCGGGTTGCTGGCATGCTGGGGAATGCATGTGTGACCGAGGACAATTGCATTCGGCGTCTGTGCAGACTGTGTTTGCATATCGAACTGGGCCACAGCAATTGCTGCAGATGACACGTGCCTTGCAACAACCTATGCGGGCAGTCAGGAACCTCGCGTGTCACTGCACGGATAGCCACCACGCCGCATTTTGCTCGTCGAAGCTGGCAGCGCAGTAGTCGAGCAGAGCTGCGAATCCGGGCCCTGAGGGACCCTTCTCTGCAAAGCTTGGGCCCCATGCCCGGAGTTTTTGGGGAGAGCTTTGCTCATGCTCTCTGTGACGCGCTTCATCGCTCCTATGGCGTGTCTGGCTCGCCGGTCGAGCAGAGACGCTGGCGACTGCGCTGGGCTCCATGTGGGTTGACGACGGTTGTTGCTCTTCACATCGCAGGGAACCTGTGCCGGAGGCATTCAGTGAAGGTCGCATCGCCCGCAATATGATGCCCTTCTCCTGGACATTAAGGGGCCGGGCACCAGAGAGAGACAGAGAGAGGGAGAGAGAGGGTGAAAGAGAGAGAGAGACAGACAGACAGACAGCCAGGCAGACAGACGCACAAACAGACAGACGACAAACAAACAGACAGGGAAAGGGCCGGACAGACAATCGGCACGACTCTCAAATAACTTGCTTCCAGGCCATTCTTTTTGCTGGTTCCGGTGGCTTCTGGTGGGCCGCTTAGATTTTTCCTGTTCTTGAGCTGTGCGCTTTCTTTGAGTCCCCCAAGCTGTTTGTCGGGTTCGGTTTTGCAGACCTGGAGCAGCTGGTGGTAGGTGCCCCGAGACGGGTGTTTGTGTCAGGGTCTGCTGCACCTCTGATCATCCTCTAAGTCTCTACGTGCTCTGGGATCCCACCGCTGTGTTGGCTGGAGGATTTTGCTGGGGGCTTTCTTCACAGGGACTCGACTGCTGGGCTTGAATGCTGAATTCCATGATGATGACATCGTGATCCGAAAGGTTACTCCTCGATAGTTCTCGCCCGAAGTACAGAGTTCAAGCAATGTGTGTGACCCGATCACGAACTGTGTCGCAGCATCTATTTGCAATGTTCGCTCACACGACTCACTCGTCATGTTCAAGCTTAAACCTTGCCGCCGCCTCGGGTTCCTTCTTGTTTCAGCTGCTGCGCAAAATCTACGATATGTCATCGTGCTGTCTGCGCTACTTCTTGCACAAGCTTGGCTCCTACATGTTTTGATTCCCAGAAATCATGGCCTTGATTGCCCGGTCCATGGGTATCGGTTCCTGCCCTGGTGGGGTCTTAGGAGGGCTTGGGCTGCATTGTCTGCAGAAAAGTTCTGTCTATTCGAGAACGCCTCGTTTCAGGCATCTTCTGATTTCATCACCCCGTGCAGTCTACAATGTAACAGCCAGAGGCCTAGACGGTGCATTGCAACAAGTGAGAAAGTCACGTGAGACTGTTGCGTGGCTCGCAAACCTATCCGACAGGCCGTAGCGCTGAGAAGACGGAAATGGCGCGCCTACCACTTACAAAACATGTTCTCTAACATGATAATGGTGTGCGGCACGCGGGCAAACACAAAGGCAGAACGTTGTTTAAACTTTAGACAAACGGTTCTTGTGCCCGAGAGATGGACAAGTTGACTAACTTCTGATGTAGCACCCTCTGTAGCGGTGTAGCGATCCTCCTGGAACTCGTCCATGGTTAGAAGGCCTTCGTCCAAGCAGTCTTTCAGCTCCCTCAGGCGAGCTTTGAGACCGACCACAACACTTGGCTCGTCGTTGCGATCTCGTGGCATCTGCGACGTTGTCGGAGCTGGAGGGAAAGGCCCTGCAGGTCCTGGAGGGTTGCTGGTGGCCGGTGGCCCCGGTGGCTTGTGGGCGAGAATCGCCCCAGCCGCCCCAAGGAGCGACTTCGAGGCAACACGAAGGTCGCCGGCAGAGGAAGAGACTGAAGGGACCATCGGGTGCGGGCCTGCGTCTCGTTCAAGGGGCGCTCGACCGCTCAGTGGCTCACTGAAGCCACTGGCACCAGCAGAGCGAGGCCGGTTTTGTGCGGACGGACCTGGAATGCCCTCGCCCTCGCTCACGCTGGAGCAATCGGAGCAGTCGCTCACCACGGTTTGCCAGGAGGGAGGGGAGAAGGACTCCAGCGCTGCAAGAGCATCTGCTGGAGCTTCCTGCAGGGGTACGTGACGCAAGTTCACGTGGTCACCTGCCGCATCCATGTGCAAGAGCAGATAGAGCCTCAGCTGGTCTGACGTGGCAACAGCACGGCCACATGCTGGGCAGCATGGGTCTACGGTCTATGGCTCTATCTCTGACCCAGAAGCGGCTCCCGTGCATGGGAACTCATCGCACAGCTTCCCTCCAGCACCCGGTTCTTCAAGAATGCAATCGACCATCTGTCCTGCAGAAAGACAAAATGTCTGTTCTTACTGGGCCAGCAGTATAAACAAGCTCAAGCGCAGGCTGTCCGCATCCACGAGCACACCGATAACGTCACCTCCAACAATGCTGTCCCTTCTGTCCCTTGGTTCTGGCACGGACCCTTGCGTGCAAACGATCCATCCAGCCGGCGCGCCATCGTCAACACTGCTGAACTCTTGTACAACCTGCTGGTCCCACCACCCCAATTAGAGCATGGAGAAGATGCTTCTGAGTTTTGTGAGTCAGAACTCTGACAAGCAATCCTGCCTTGCCATTGACTTGTAGCCCCGCAGGCATCGTCTTTGCCTTTTGTTTTCTTGGTCCGGTGTTGTAGCCTTCGCCGTCATCCCATAGCCACTGGCTGCATGAATTGCAGTTATACTTTAGTAGCACACTTGCAACTCAGCAGCACCATCCACGCAGGTTGTGTCCTGCAACGAGCGCACCAGCCTGAAAGTGTCACGCAGTCTTTGAACTTGATTGTTACCGAGCGCCCAAGCACACCTGCACCGCATCCGTAGTGACACCACATCGTAGCTGATCACCTCGCAACATACGCGAGAAAGACATTTCGTGCCAGCGGCAGCAAGTCCCGAAACAGGGATGGACCATAGTTGCAGCACGCGGCGAGAACCCCGCGAGCGCGTGCGGGCCTCTGGATCCCCGCGCTGGGTCGACGAGAGTGGGAGGGCACAGCCAGCGCACAGCATGACACGTGCGCGGTGCGCATTCAGACTACTTATGACTTGACCGTCGCTTGCTGGCCAGCTGCTGAAGTGGTGCACGATAAACTCGTAGAAGTGCTGGCCATAGTGCATGGGTCGACAAGACACCGCTGTACAGTGGTCGGCGAACTCGTCGGAAAGGAATGTGATTTCAGCACCTCTGGCCGTGGCATGTTGTGGCACATCTGATCAGCAAGTAGGAACTACAGTGACTACAGCATCCCAGAGCCTGCCATGCGCAAGAACCTGATGTCCGGATTGTTGCTGTTCCAAACACCACGACACCGCTCCGCCTTCGAAGGGCCACGCGGGACAGGTCAGCGATCAGTGTGTGAAGGGCGGGCCACCCGAGAGCCGAGTCGCTTCTGAGCCGGATTCGTCGCTGTCTAGTCCAAGCGCAACTCGTTTCTTGTGCCTCCGCAGATGCCGCCTTGCTGAGCAAAGTTCATTAAAGTTGTCTCGGCCTGATCTTTGCTTCCAGCTTCCTCTGCTTTGCTGCTCGGCGCTGCTTGAAGACCTGGCGCACTTCAAACTTCGCAGCTGTCAGTTGAAGGTCTCGAGGCTTCTGAAGTGAAGGCCTCTTGCTGGCGCTGCTCAGACTCCAGCTGCTCTAGCTGCTGCTGCTGCTGCATCTGCTGCTGCAGCCGCTGCTGCTGCATTTGTTGCACCGTTTGCGGCAACTGATCTTCTGCCTCTGCCCTTTTCTTGTCAGCGGCTGCAGCTTCGATCGATGCAAGTCTCTGTCGTGCTTGTTCCTGGCAAGGATGAACGAATCAATCACGTGGCGACCCTGCAAGTATTGAGCCGTCTGCCTGGTTTAGGGAGTCCTCCTCGTGTTGCTTTTCGCGCTGCCTTTCGACTTCCTCAGGACGTTCCGCGACCGTGGGTTGCGCTTGCGCAATATAAGTGGCCACGCAAAGACATGGCACCCCACCCTGCGCTGCTTCTCCGCGCGGTGTTGCTCCTACAGGTCGAAAGCCGAAAGCATTTATCATTTATCCAGCTGTGTGTATTTTGGTGGCCGGAGATATCCCAGCAAAACATTGCGGTACGAAGGACAAGTATAGTAAGAAGAGCCATTGGCCGTGGCATTGCGTTGCCCTTCCTCGGCATCTCGGTTCTGACGCCGCTCTTCGCGAAGTTCCTGCGAAAAAGCTTTGCAACGGGGCGAGTAAAGGAGCAAGCGACGGAACCCAAGAGTTTGGTCATGCTTGGTTCCCTTTGCGGTTCTGAGCATCCTGGTCGAGCAAGATGATCCGCCGCCTCGACTCCTCGCCACCGACCTGTCGGCGCTCCATCAACCGTGACGGGAGTCTGCCAGAGTTGGAGAAGGAAACCACTGAAAAGTCTCTCCACGAAGGATCTTTTCTTTGAGCCCTCATGACTCAGCTATCTGAGATCAGAACACCACAATCCACGCTGGGGGCGACGTGCTTGCATCTTCACAAGTAGTTTCTGAAACCATTCCGTGCAGTTGTACATGACGTACTTCAACTCTCACGTGGACTGCTTGTTGTCTGCGGTGATTGGGCCACACCGAGCTCTGATTGGAGACCGGGACTTTCGGCCAGACAATCCAAGGGATAGTATTGGATTCAACCACCACCGTTCAAGGACTCAAGCCAACTCAGCGGGAACGAGTCGTGTGGTAGCAGTGCCATGCTGGAGTTGCAACATGCACCTTCGCCGGGAAAGCTGGCAGACAGCCGGCAATGATGGCAACGGTCCACCTTAGCGCCAAGAGGTGCTTGATGTTTAGCGGCCAGGGCGACTGCACAAATTTCAGCCTCAGCACGATCAAGCAACAAGACTTGGAACGCAAAGCCAAAGGAAGGCACCCAAAGAAAGCCACCACAGCCTTGCTTGCCCACCGAACTCGATCAGGTGTCAGAGGTTCGCTTCCCGCGAAGTATCTGGTCTTGACAGAACTGTACTGCAGCTGAGATAGCACACGGGTCCCCCCGAATCCTAGAGCGAGCCTGCCTTCGGCAGATGTAGTCAATCAGACGAGGCTGCTCCAAGATGGCCTCCATGTCAATGTTGCGGGCGCGCTTCAGGAAGTCCACACGCACAACGGTGCGAAGAACATCGCCCCAGTCAATCGAAGATGGAAGCGTCAAAGACAGCAGCAAGTGGACGACCTCCATGACCCTCGTCAAAGGGCATGAGCTGCGCTACAGTATCACGAGTGAAGGGTTCTAAATCTAAACATCCTCGCCCTCGCCTTGCCACCTCACGAGGTGGGTGTTTCAGCTGCTTGACCTGTCACGAATCGTTTTTGACTTATAACGCTCTGTTCGCTGAGACAAATTGGGCCCTGCCGTGTCACGTGAGCTGATGCCTCCTGCCTCCTCGATTTCTTTGTTGTTAATGTCCCGCAAAGGATGCAGCTCGGCCTCCTGAACCACTGCGCAAGAGCTGCAAAGTCGACAAAAGCGGGAAGGGCTCCTCACCGCCTGCACGGCGAACTGCCGTGAAGACCTGGTGGGCGGCGGCACTGTCAGCCCGACCGTGCATGGCTGGCCAGTCACACTTCCTAACGCCGAGCTACCACATTCATCTTTGATATGTGCCACAATCGATCACTTTGGAGATGCTTGAACGGATCTACAGGCGTAGGACCTCAATGCGCTGTTTGAAGAGGCTCCTTGTCTATATAGACATATAATATATGTACCCTTAAAGAGGATGCACCATGGGCGGTCTCTGTGGGCAGAGTGAGTATACAAACGAATGAAAAACAGTCAACATTCACAACAAACCGATCTGCTAATATATTCCGTGTTGACATTGAGACAAAAACTAACAGTGTTGAATGTGTGGCTTCTGGGGATTTGGGAAACTTCTGAATCTGGAAAATATTGACATTATTGAAGCGCTTGGAACTTTTATGTTGGTGAAAAGCGCGGCCTTTGGGATTTGTGGGAGAAGCTCATATTGTGTTTCTTCTTTCCCAATTTGAAACCTTTCCCGAAAGACCGGAACTTGAAGACCTGTACAAACTCCAAAGTGTTGCAAATTTTGAAAGGTTCCCAAACCCCTCGAGGCCAAAGTTTCAAACATGTTGCCACTTCAGAAGACCAAGATGTTCCCAAGCCCTTTGTCGAGATCATGTTGAGACATTGGTGCAAACCTCCGCACCGGGCAAGGTTTGTTGATGCTATGATTTGTTTTGCTCTCTGACAGTTTCGTAGCGGGTCGTGATTCCAACATCTTCAAATTTCTGTGTTCTTTGGACGGTGGGATGCAACCTATCCGTGATCCGCGGCCATCAGGAAAACAAACGACCAAAGGCATGTAGGGAAAGCAGAGACAGCGGGAATGTCAAGGGCAACTCCCATTCGGTTTGCATTTTCATTTTTGCGAAGAAAAAGGAGAGGGAGACCACCTGTCCACATCTTTCTGAAGCAGGCAACACGACGAACAGTCAAAGTCAAGGAGACACTGCACAAAAGGGGAAAAGCTTGCAACCCAAGCCGTCACCACACTATCCGTAAAGGTCCATGGCACCTAGGGCCTAGTGGCCTAGGCCTAGTGTAGGCGGCTCGGAAGCAGCGGTGGGGGCGGGCTGGACTGTGGAACAATGCAGTGCGACACAGTCCAAGCGCCAAGCATGCACCCGTCGCCCTCTTCCCATTTTGTCTCAGCTCGGGAATGGGACTTAGCGAAAGCGGGCAGACCACCGCGCCTTGCACCGAGAAAATGCGCTCCTTCTTCTTCCGACCCCGCCCGTAAGCACGGCTGGTGATGTGCAGAAGTGCACCACAGGCACACGTCATGCCCCTAAAGGATTTGTTCTGACGATAGTCCCAAAGAGTCTTCTCCTCGCCCCAGGCATGGCCAATACCCTCGCCGCCTTCCCCGGCGCCTTCCTCTTCGCCCCTGCCACTTGGAAGAACGGAACAAGCCGGGGCCTCCGGCCTTTGCGGCTCCCGCTCGGAGCCCATGGGGGCTTCCCGGCTCAGGGCATCTTCTACGCGACGCCGACGGTCTTCCTCCCTGTTTGGGTCGTTGTCGAAATAGAAAATCTCTGCTTCGCCATGTCGCGCACGGCCGGCTCCCTGGACGTGGCTCTTGGCACTGCTGAAGAAGTCGTAACGCACCACATAGCGACAGTCTGGCACATCCAAACCTTCCTCCAGAGATGTGGTGGCCACCAAGACTTGGCAGGTGGTGCGGAACCGCTGCAGATTCCACTGTCGAAGACCCTCCTCCATCCCCTGCACGCCACAAACCTCGCCAAAGCAAGTTTTCATTGCGCTGGCCGGTCACTTGCAGGGCAAGACAAGACTGGCCGGGGCGCATGGGCGATCTCGACCCCGGTGGATGCTTCCAGAAGCCGTGCCATGGGCCCAGCCACCGACACGCGCTCAACAAAGACTAAGATCTTGTCAGTCGAACCATTCGAACCCGACAGCAGACGCCTCAGAAGCTGGCACAGTGCCTCAAACTTCCCGCTCACCTCATCACTCACTGAGGTCACCCTGGCCAGGACTTCCCGGCAACGAGGCAGCAGTACCAGGGCCCTCTGCAAGCACTCGGTGTCTCCGGCATCATCTGCAAAAGCCAACTTGCTGGAGAGCTTCGCCTTCGACGTTCGACGGAGCATGGGAGACACGGCAGTCAAGCGCGAGACAAGTGCGACATTCAGCCTGGACCACTTCGACGAGGCTTTCCTGCACCTTGGCGAAAAGAGCGAAGAGGCGACTACCAGAGGCGAGCGTTTTTTGGGGCCGAAGGGCGAAGGGCTGCCAGGCTGCAGGCCCCAGGCTCTCCAAGACTCCACGGAGGCGGCCCTTCTCTCGAGCAAGGGAGCTCTGAAGCTCCCAGTTGAATTCCACCTTTGCCAAGTTCTCGACAAGGACATCCAAGTGCCTCGCGTAGCTGGCGTAGGCCGCCGCCGCTGTGAAGGCCGCTTCATCTTGTGCCTCAAACCTGCTGGCTCTGGGGTCCGCTGCACTTGCCCTTGCCGGCTCTATGAGGCCGCGTGACCAGGGCACTGCCGTGAAGCGCCGCTCGCTGTGAGACAAGGCCGGGTGAACCTCAGATCCAATACGCAACCGTGGCAAGCCTTGGCAAGCCCCTTGCAAGCTTTAAAGCCCTCCGCGGCATCGGCCTGGGGCGAGAAAGCCTGGGCCCTGAAGCGGTCCTCCAGCACCTCCGGCTGCAAAACTGCGCGCTGCCGGGAAACCGTGGAGGCCTGGCGCCTCCAGCCGGCGTTCCGGATCCTGGCGCCGCTTCCCAGGAACAGAACTCGCGACCGCTCTTGGGCCCTTGGGCGCTGGCCGAGTTTCCATGCAGGAAGCTGGCTGTGAGTCCCAATATCCGTGCCGGGCAGCAGCCCTCTCTCAGCTGTGTTAGGACTTCGGCGTAGGGGTGGCGACCTTTGAGGCTCCGAGTCTACAGTCCCGGTCATCCCCCTTCCCCACCGGCCAGGCCTACCGCATGGTGTGCCTCAAAGTTGTGGCACTCTCTGTAAGATGTCCATTATAGCAATAATCACAACCAAGTCTACAGGCCCCTGACCTCATCGAAGATTACGCAGCGAAGCTGTTGGGCAGCAATCTGCCCCGTCTCGAGAGCGATCCGAATCACCTCGCCGGTTGCGACAAAGACCTGTCACCGCAGCAGCGCAGCGCAGAGACAGTTTCAGAATGTCGCGTGCTTGAAACTTCAGATGTCTCCCGCGACTCGTGCCTCGGCTTGGGGAGTGCTACCCACAGAGAAGCTTTGCAAGCTGTGCCGGCGGAGATACTCCGACTGCTGCACCACAAGCGCACGTGAGTTCACCACAAAGACGCTCGGAACTCCCAGCGCGTCCAGTAGCATGCACCTTTAAATTGCAGCACGTTGCGGACAGTCTGTCTCTAACTTCAGATTTAGCCTTGCGGCGCAACCAGAGTCTTCCCACTGCCGGTCGGCATGTTCAGGATCGAGTTCTGGCTGAGGGCTTTTCTGAATGCTTCCAGCTGATGAGGCCAGGCCCCGTATCCTCAAGCTGTCTGTCTACCATCTCAACCCGTCAGACACATCGCCTCTAAGCAAACACTCAGAGCTCAACGTTGCGCCCACGCATCCCAGTCATGAGTAACATTGTCCATAGCTAGCAATTATTGTGTCGCATATCTGTGTGTGTGTGTGTGCACTCTTGTATGTGAGCAAAGACTTGTCTTGGAGCACTTGTCTATACTATAGAACAGGGATGCTCAAATATTGTAGCAAGAAAGTTTGCTTTGAACCATGGCAACCGTCTTTTGTGGTCACCCAACACGCTGTACTGTTGCAGCTTCCCTTCGTCTCATCATGCATGAGCAGCGATACATCACTCAGGCTCTTGACAAGCGAAACGTCGAGATCGTAAATCACACCAACTGCAATTGCAGGACAGGTCTAGGTGCAGTGAGGCCAACAGCAGCATGTTCGCATGCCCACGCCGAGAAAGACACAGTCGATTTGGAGTCACTCGACTGCGCGTCTCTCAGGCTCGGCAGACCTGCAGGCTGGCGGAGCCGCTCTAACCAAAGGGATGTGGTTTTTGACTGAGCAGCGAGCCCGGTTTGGTGGGTGACAACGCCGGCTTCGATCAAGTAGGGGATCTCAGCCGCCAACCATGGCCCCAAAGCCTCAGAAAGAGGCAGAACAAATGGGAGACCGAGACCGCAAGGGGTCCCAGAAACCCTCGCCGAGGCTTCAGACAAGAGAAAGGGCGTGTGCTATGCCGAACTTCGGCACATTTGTCCTCTTTCCATCACAGCAAGAAGGCAATTTGGGGAGGGTGTACATTGTACATGTGGCCTCCAAAGCGGAGCAAAGTGAATGTCCAAACAAATCTTCCCACCACGGTACCTTGACACTTGACGAAGAGTCTCCGGAGTATTCGTCATCAACATGGGATCATGGAGGCACATCTTCGGTGTCTTTCCGTCCAGCTCTGGCAGTTCCTAGGACGGAATGTGCTTGCAAAGCCAACCTCTGGGTGAGACAGCTGGGCTGCGGCCAATTCGATCGGCACAGCTGGATAGCCCGCGGGGATCTTGGGGCGGCGCAGGAGTGCGCATGCACGTGCTTGTTGCAAGGCTGTCTCAAGTGCCTCAAACTGAAGCTTGAACTCGTATTTTAACAAATTGTGCACATACCTGGGCGGAAAAGCGGAGCGGCGGGCTTTGCTCATGCCAACCTCTTCGGAGGTCGGGGGTGTGGCCAGCAGGTGCCGGTCCATTTCGTTCCATCCTATACAGCCACATGCACCTGCTGCCCTCCGTGGGTGAAGGACGCGTGCATCTCAAGCCCGCCTCATTGGAGAGGATATGGAACCAGTCGCTGTCATTCTCCTTCCGGCTGGCGGTTCTGCTGCAAGCTTCTGGACTTGCTGAGTTGGTCGGGCCTTGTTGTTCTGTACATATCTAATCAATGCTGCGAGCTCTTCTTTCAAGCGCTCAGCCTTAGTTGGGATCAAGCTCTCACGAATCCCAGGCGGGCCAACGGTCACCGAGCCAGGTCCTGACATGGGATCCTGGCCCACTGTTCATCACGGGGTCCAGCTTTGACACTTAGAAGCGGGATCTTCTGAACTGCTGCCTCAGGAACTGAAGGCGTTGCACACTTCAACACCTTCAGTCTCTGGAATCTTGGGGCCCGGGAGCTCTGGTCTTCTCGTCATACAACATCACCTCGTACCACTCATCACAGCGTCTCTGACTAAACCAGGGTGGCAAGGCCGCGTACCCAGCACTTTGCCGCCAGCCTGCGCAGCCTTCCCCAGCTCTCCAGCTGACTCTAGCTGCAAGCTTCTAAGCCTGGAGCCCATGGGCAGCTTCGGTCCTCGACTGCTGCACTCGGCTTCGTAGGTCGGCGGAGCTATTCCGAGATTTACCCCTTGTCGGACCAAGGCAACAAACGTATCTGCTTTACAAGGGTGAAATTGGCACGTCCTCACGAATTCCCGACTCTTGTCTGAACACGAAGCGGCCGAACGAGCATCAACTCTAGAACAGGCCGTGCTAGGCAACGAGGCCGAGATGTGCCAAAAGCGGGGCAAAAGCGCCAAGTCGCTAATTGAATTCCAAACACTTTGGAAAATTGTGCGAGATTGCCAGATCCAAAGCATGGCCGTTTGCGTTAGGCAAACAGCACTCTTCTCGTCTGTACAGTTGCTTTCTTGTCCTGGGCTTCTCCTGTCCGTGTCTCCCGTCTCAAGCACCGCCGCCCCGCACAACTTTGTGCAAAGGGAGCTGCCCTGGCAAGACTGGCCAAACCCTACCGGCAAAAACTACGGCCCTGCAGATGCAGAGAGATGTCTTAAACCGCGAGGATAGACATAGACATGGAGGCACACATACACGCAAGACGCAGGAGAAGAAATCTGTGCATCGAGTAGACGCCTGACTGTGCGGCTGATGGAGCAGCCGCGAGTGCAGCAAAAGCCCGCAAGGCAGCACCTGCGAGAGTCCGCTCGACACACGGTGCGTCGTAGCCTCACAGAGTGTGGCCTTGTGCGGAGCTCCGACTAACCCGAGGGCCTGCAGCTTCGTCTCGGCACTGAAGAATCCAGCAGCTAGTAGCGTAGCTGGCCTGGTGACGGCGCTAGGATCACCCCGGTCGGATGGCGGACCTTGCAGACCCAGAAGACATGCAAGAAGCTCCGGAAGGATAGGATGTGCCATCAGCCAGTAAGAGCAGGGCAGGGACTGGAAGCGAAAATTGCGTTCCCCTGAGGTCCAAAGGAATGCCAAGCATCGCGGCATTGCGGCCTCAGATTCGATCAATGACAAGAGGTCTGCTGTGGAGCTGGCTTGGGCCATCGTTTGTACACACAAACCGAGGCCCGCTCGAATCCTCTTGCCAGGCGACCTCGGAACATCGAGCCGCTTCTTCGTCATAGCTCCACCCCGGGGCACCGTACAACCCGACCTCAAGTAAGAACACAGCACCAATAGAAGTGCCACTCTTTGGCTTGTTTAGATGCTTTTGAGCCGAGTCCTTGCACGAGGTGAAACTCCACCACTCGTTTGGTGTAACTGGTGCCTGTTTGGTTCTAGCCGGAAGGATTCCGAAGTTCCCGGGTGCCGGGTGTGACAGGTTGCACCGCATCGCTCATGATTTTGATAGCGATGCTTTTGCCTGCGTGCCGAGATGTATACCAATGCTTTCCGCGAAGCTGGTGCTGCCCAACTTCCGTTGGGATTGTCGTAAGCCCAAGGCTGTCCTGGCAAGCTTTGATCACGTCTTGTGCACGAAGTGCATGCCGCGCTCCATATCGTCCGGACGAGTTTGCCAGTATGGGGGTTTGCGCGTGATGGGCCCACTTTGTGGTCCTTGGGCCTAATCTGAAAACGGAAAACCCACACATATTTTACTTCGAACATCCCTACCCAACAGATCCCCGGTCACGTAGCAAAACACAAGTGTTCGATTCAGGTCATTCGGCGACCCATGCATGGGGTCACACCAGTGACTGGCGTTACGGTCCTGGGGGTCCCCGTGCACGGAACAAAACACGAGTGTCCCACTCAGTTCATTTGACGACCCATGCATGGGGTCACACCACTGACTGGTGTTACGGACGTGGGGTCCCTGTACACGTACCAGAACACGTGTTCGATTCAGGTCAGTCAACAATCCATGTGGGCACACGACTGACTGGCGTTAAGGTCCTGGGGTCCTGGAACAGGTCCAACCGTTCCACTCTATGCACTACACGCACCTGACCTTCCCGATGTTAAGACATGCAGTCACGTGTTGAATGTACGGAGAAGATAAACTCCAGGACTCCAGGAAGCCGATAGGGGTGGCCCGGTGCAGACATGTTAGAGTCGTATATACATAGCCAGGTGACATGGGCGACATGGGCGATGAGGGCGAAGAAGGGCTTGGACCCTTCGCTCTCGAACTCGGCCTGCCAGCAGAAGTTTCGTCTGCGGCGCGTGTGCAAGCGTGCTTTGTTGCGAGGCGAGGAGCTCATGGAGCTCGGCGAGCACGGAGGGCACGCCGGGCATGCAACCAGGAGGCGAGACTCTCATCAGGTCAGCAACGTGTTGTGCCTGTGAGCTTCCACGCGAAAGAACATGGTCTCTCCAGAATCGCTTTTTGGGCAAGTCTGGGGTGCAGCAGTGACCTGCATGACCGCTCTTCTTTCTGCCGTGATGCGGTAAAGCTTTCACAATGTCCTAGGGCGGATGGCATCTGTACACTGATGCAGAAGTCCTGCAAGCCACCCTCCAGTCAGAGGCCCGCCGCAGCACAAAGGCGCGCCAAGTGGGAGATTGGCCTCCTGCGAGAATCGGAGCATCATCAAAAGCCAATACTTCCCACAGGGATAGGGACCGGGACTCGGCGCATATCGCGCCTGCCAGAGTCCAGCAACTCCTCTGGCGAGCCCTGCTCAACCACCAGACCAGCATCAAGCACCACTACCTGAACAACCCGCTAGCAGCAACAGCAGGAATCATGTGCAAAATTAAGGCAGCTCGTCTCCTTCAGAAGTCACAAAAGACACGCTTCGAAGGTACGTTCAAGGAAACTAAGAAGGTAGTCGACGTAGTCTCTTGTCTTGCAACCGGAGGACCAGGGGACAAAGTCGTTCTACGAGACTGCAGAAGAGGACACTACAGGTACACTGCACTCTCAAGGAGAACAGCAGTGGCTGCAGCAGCACTCCAACCCACTGAAACTGCTGGGCAACGGACCACAGTCCTGCAAGTTCGGCTCCAGTGAATACAAGGACTACACTTGCATCTAGAGTTGCTTGTTGGAATCGAGCGATGTGCTGAAGCCGATGGCCTCAGCTTTCGTGACTGCACTGCGACAGACGGCACCATGTGCTGCCAGTGCTGCCATGCGGCAAATCATCATGACAGTCGCATCCATTTCCAGCACCACCTGGTGCACCTGTGCAGACCAACAACTGCGATGCCCTGCGCGGATTCTCGGGCCGAGGCTTCGGCCTTCTCATCGGTAAGGACATCGATGTTTGCCGTGGCCTCGTCGCAGAGAAGCATGCGTGGAGGTGCCCAATCCTCGAGGCTGCAGGGGATGCTTGGCACAAGGACACGCGCTAGGGTCAGGAGTTGCCGCTCTCCCACAGAGAAGTTGCCACCAGCAATGTCCACACGGAAATCCAAGCTCCCAGGCAATGCGCGCACCTTCTCCGCCAAACCAACTGCAGACAAGCAATGCCACAGCACCTCATCATCGTGCTCACTCGAGCCCATGGTCAGATTCTGTCGCAAGGAGCCAGATAGAAGGAATGCCTCTTGCGACACCACGCGGATGCTCATTCGCAGAGTCTGCAGCGACAGCTGGCTGATGTCCACTCCATCAACCAGTACACGGCCAGATGCAAGAGGGTACAAACGGTTCAGTACACTGAATAGAGAGCTCTTCCCACAGCCTGTGCGTCCACAGAATGAAAGTTTGGCTTTGCCAGGGATGCACAGGTCGACTCCTTTCAGCACCAGTGCGCGATGGAGCCGGTAGCGCATGGTCACAGCCTCCAGACGCACTTCTCCCTGGCTGGGCCAAGCAGTCCCCAGCATGGCATGCGCCTCCCCGTCCCCCTCATTGCGGCAACTCTCCTCCTCAAGGCGCAGATACTCTGCGACTCGCTCCACGGACACAAACTTAGTCTCAACATCAGCGGCCCCCATCCTTATGCATAGTGTCGTGTGCGTCACATAAAACTTGATCGGGAATCAACTTCCTAAACCACTCTCACATCTAAGTCGCATGTAGTCCATCATGCCCCGCTGTAGTTGTGCAGAATAAAGCAGCACCAGGCCCATGTGACCGGTCTGCATAAGCCCTCGCCGGGATAGCTCCACGCACACAAAAGCCGAGATGCAGTACAAGATGCAGCCCCACTGCGTACTCAGCGCCTTGGTGCACACACACACACACACCCGCACAGCACTATCAAGCGGGAGTCCTTCATTGTAGCTCTTATCCGGTCCCCCTTCGCCTGCATTCCTGGTCGACTCATGTTCGGGACTTAGGGGCCTTGCTGGTTCGTGCAGCGAAGCTTCCTGTGCCCACTTTGAAACCGCTTGATTGCCATACAGGCCTTGGGCCATTGTGCTGATGTGCCTCAGGTTTTCCTTCTCGAAGCGAGCCTCACGAACACAGGATGATAAGTTCAGAAGCAAAGAGGGAAACAAAAACATGTTGGCCCCCTGGTCCGCCTCCGCCGCAAAAGCCCGGACGGTCTCCCGACCGTGGAGCGTATCGCCAAAATGGGTGTAGACCGGGCTCCGAGCTGCACTTTCCAAGCGGCGCGAGTCGCGGTTCGGAATTCGCATGCGCTTGTAAATCATGGAATACGGTACGGCAAGGATCGGCAAGCTGCACAGCACCCACGGAGCCTCGATGTAGACGAGCGAGAGTTGAGTCACAATCGTCAAAGTCTTCATTATCTGGTCCGAGATAGAATCCGGCAGGAAATTGTCGATGTTCTGGACGTCTTGCAGAAAACGGTTTAGAATGCGACCAGTAGGCGAAGAGTCAAAGAAGGACATGGGCGCACTCAAGACCTGCAATGCTTTCTTCAGCAGCACAGGAGGACGGTACAGGCAAAAGCAGCGTGGCCCCCCGCCTTGCTCAGCATGTCGCTATGGATGCCTGACATCGCATGCTGATGCGCATTGCACTCATCTCAGCCTGCATCTGTCTGTGCCGCCGCGCTGCTGCGAGAGGCACGGAGAGCGCACACTGTAAGCAGGATCGCTTGGGTGCAGTTTGCCAAGGCTGTCGAGATGCTGATCAGGAAATAAATCAGAACGCTGTGTTCTTGCTCAGTCGCCGACTCTTTGCCACTAGTCCATTCAGCAAGATATAAAGTGCTCCTTACATGTTCATTGCCTCGCCAGCCCCGTGAATTGGTGGGGTTCCAAAACAATAAGACTATAAGAAGGCGTTTCAAATCCAACGGCAAGGGGCAGGATCTGGCTCACTGCGGAGAAAACCATTACGCACAGCATGAGGGTGATCACGTATCTGGAACCGAAGGCTTGTAGGTATAGTCGGAAGTCTGGCCAAGAGATCATTCCTGGCGAGGTTTGCTGTCACACACATGCAAGTCGTCGCAGGCTAATTGGAGGCACTGGGGCACCTGCCTTCACGGATGAGATCGGTCTGAAGGTCTGCAGATCCATTGAGGGTTTCTCGGACGTTGCGGATCAAGGCTGCATCAATGCGGCGTCCCTCCAAGGCTCCCAGTACGGAGCCCACAGCAGACTGGCATTCTGCAAGACTGATCAACTCATCAGCATTGCGCTCCCTCTCGAGTGTCTCTGACAAGGAGCTCGATGATGACTGCCGGGACAAAGGTTTTTCCGATTCTTCTTTGTCCCATTCCTGCACGAGGCGCAGGAAAACATCCCCGCTTTTCGCCAATTCGCTCCATGGCCCGTGCAGCCACAGCTGGCCTTATTAAGTCAATCAAAAAAAGCCCTTGTGCTGGCTTTCCGAGTTTCAGTTCTTCAGTCTTTAGACCGAGCTGCCGTTCCGAAGCATGATGACAGAGTCCACTTCCGGGCGTGAAAGGTACTGAATTTGATGGCTGACCAAAATAACGGTCTTCTTGTTGCGAAGAAGCCCTTCGATCAGGCAGGTGTCCCAAATGTAGCGAGCAGTGTGCGCGTCAACAGCGCTGAGGACATCATCTAGGCAGATCACCTCCGAGTTTGAATACACAGCGCGAGCCAGCGCAACTCGAGCCTTCTGTCCACCCGATAGCTGCACCTTGGTACAGTTGCAGACATCGAACTAGAAGTAAGCACGAAATGGGGAGGGCAGTCATCGTCTGAACCGTAAAAGCCTGGAATCGTTAGCGGCCCTGCAAGCTCTGGAACTTTTAGCAGGAGACTATGACACGAAAAAGGCTCAACGGCAGACTTGCTGCTCCGCTTTCACCAACCGGGGTCGCATCACCGCTTGAAAGGCTGCTCAAATCCTCTACAAGCGCTGCCATGCGCAGCGCTGATGCATATCTGTCCTCATCCAGTGGGAGTCCGAAGAGGATATTCTCCTTCACCGTGCCGTTCAGAAGGAATGGTTTCTGCGAAACGAAGGCCCTGTGCCCACTCACGTGACACTGGCCACGAAGAGGAGGCCGTGAGCATGCCAAAGAAGCCAACAGAGTGCTCTTCCCGCTGCCGACTGGTCCAGCAATCATCACAAAGCTGCCCTGTGGAACCTGGAAGCTCACCTGCTCCAAAATGCAAGTTTCCTCTAAGTTCGCATTCGCATCCCAGTGTCTGTAGCCGAAAGCCGCATTTTGGACGTCCACGGCAATGCCGGTGCAAGCTGCAAGGCCTTGGAAAGAGCTTGCACTCAGCCAGGGCTCCTCGTGCCACGGTCGCACAAACGCAACGCCGTTCACACCATCCACGTCTCTCTCCCGAAACGAGGCCTGGGGGGTAGTAATGGGAGTGGTCAGGAAGCGGTCGATGCGATCGAAGCTCGGCTTCAAATTGGCCACTGCACGGTAAATACCGGGCAAAGCCTGAACGGACCACTGTAATGTGGAGATCCAAGCCAGAGTTGTGAATGCTGTCGCCTCACCCGGTGACACAAATCAACGCGACTCGGTCAACTCTCTGAAGCATCGAGAGCATCGAGAGCCAAGCGGCAGCATCCAGCCTCTCGCCAAGCACGACAGTGTACCAGGCGAAGATGCTCACTGGCACCATGACACTCAATACAGAGCCCACAAGGGTGTTGAAGGCTCCCAGGATACGAACTCGAACAATGGCCTGCAAGTCAGAGGCGCTGGCAGCAACTGGTCATCTCTTTTGGCTAAGTTTCGAGCCTTCATCTCCTCGTTCCTGGCCGCAGATAAACGGGACTGCCATACAGGCTCCCAAACCTGGAGCTTCACCGTCCGGATTCCCCGAACCATCTCGCTCATCAAGCTGGCACGGTGATCACGACACTCTTGGACCACCTGCAAAAGAGAAAACGGGCGCTGCCTAATTAAATTGTATTCTTCGCGACGTTTCAACTCAGTTGAAGCACGACCTGCGGCCTTTGTCCAGGATTGCAGACATCTCCCCAGGCCACGCGAAATGCCGGCCCCTAGCACCACCATAGCTGTACCAATGAACGCGGCAGAGCCCACCTCCAGTGTCTCTGCACTACGCACAACAAAACAACTTTGCCTGGCATGACCATAACCCCCGTGAAAGAAACCGATTCAGCAAAGACATTGAAAGGGACTTCCAACTCCAACCCTATTAAGGGCGATGCCAGGTACACCCTAAACATCGTTACACCGAAGCCCCGGCCAACTGGTAGAGGAAGTAGACGAGAAAGGGCAAGGAAGCGAATGTCCAAGACCACTGTGACAGGGAAAAAAGTAAGGAAGACCACTTGCCGATCTTGTCCGCGTCCGTGGCCATGAGGTTGGAAATGCGCCCGACATCCAGCTCGTGATCTGGTACGCAGAGTGACTTGCGAAAAATCGCATGCACCAGTACCGAACGGACATTGTTCTGCACGCGAACAGAGGCAAAGAAGCAGATTTCCATGCAGGTGACACGCACTAGCATTGAAAGGCTCAGTGCGCCGACCAGGCAGAGCTGCACCGGGAAGCTAACTTCTGTGCTCCCCGAGTCCTGCACTGCATCCAGCCTCAGCTATTTCCATGCCATAGCAATCACAAGAACCACGATGGACGACCGTGTGCTCCGGTTCGCTCTTTGCTTGCAGGGTGCAGCACACGGAGCATGAGTGGGTCGATGGTCATAAAGAAGAGAAATGTCCAACCGTGAAGCACGGAATACAGGAAGACCTCTGTGAGAAACCGTAGGTCACTCTAGGTGCGGCTACCATCACCAGCTGAAGCTAGAATGCCCAATTTAACGGCCGGCCGAAGCAAAGCAATCAGGAAGAACATGGAGATTAACTACTAACGAAGCATGCTGTGCAACTAACCAGCATTAACCAGCTAAAGCGCCCGCCACTGGATTCTCCAGCAGACTGAACAGAGGATGCGTGCACTCTTGCCCCTTGCCGAGCGCCACAGGCTCGCCACCTTGGAAAAGAGGAACTCCGGGTCGTCCTTGGCGAATCAGACAGACATGGATGGACAGCCTCCGACGAGACACGATGTGACTCCAAGGGTCGACGTGCGGCAGCTTTGGCAGATCTTCCTGCGCCAGACGGGCTCTCCGATTGGCTGCGCGAATACTTGGGAAGACCCACCAGAAAGTGTACCTGAACAGGGGGGGAAGTAGAGAAGTAGAGCCGAACGGTGAAAAAGGCACAGAGGGGGGCCCTCCTGGAGAGGAAGCTTGCAGCATCCTCCGGAGCTACCGGCGCCAGTGGAGCGCATCCTCCCTGCAGCAGTTCTCTTCGACCATCAGAGAGCTCTGTTCCCAACATGGAGCCATGGATCCGCTCTAATTTCCCTCTCTGATTCCTTTGGGCCAGAGCTGTCGTTTGCTTTTGGAGGAGATGACTTATAATATGTGCACGTCAGCTCCTACGCATCTCCTGGCCCTGGCCTTCATTGCTCGCAGGCTCCGCCTCAGTTGCGGGAACAGGCGCGAGCCCGCACTCGGAGAGAGCGCGCCGCAGATCTGCAGAACCCGGGTTCACGGCAAAGGCTTGGGAGAGATCGGGGAAGTCGGAATTCCGCACCTCACGATCAAGCCGTCGAAAGTCGACCAATACAGTATCTGCTGAGGGCACCGTTGCAAAGCTGCAAATGGTGATGATGAGGACCTGCAGAAGCTAGCAGCAGCTAGCAGCTGCAAGCTGTGAGCACCGCTGGACGCGCTCCTGCAGTCGGGGACAGCGACAGCTCCAGCGGTCCGCGCAGCCTCCTGGATGGGGAGTTCCAAAGCCTTGGAGCCCGCAAGTGACAAGAAGTGACAGTATGGACGACCACGCGCAGATGGTTCCCGCACTTTTCAAAGCGCCCTTCGTTCGGCTCCAAGGCGCTTCGCTGGCTGCGCCGCGTGCGTCGCTGGAGCTCGCGCTGGGCCTCGCCATGACCAGGTGCCCGAGCCCAAGGCACCTCACGAAGATCACGAAGAATCGCAGGTTTGCCCGGGGGGGAGTGGGTCCCTGTTCCGTCCGAGAGCGGCGCTTAGCGCCTCCGAGCTCCAACACCAGGCCGGCAGCCTGCCCTCCCCTGACGAGCGCATCCCATAGAGCCGCGAGGAGGCACGTGGTTCTTAGAGCGTGCACTTTCCGCGCAAGCAAGGCTGTTGACACAGTCTCAGTGGAGTTCTCTGATTTTCTGCTCATTGCTTTCGGAGGCGGTCTGTGAAAATGGCCGCAGTGGCAGTCTCACTGGCTGCACCAACATGCCCATGTCGATGGGGTGCCTCCTCCCGTTCGTCTTTGTTACTGGATGACGCCGCAACAAGCTAAACACCCAGCTGGCAGTTCCTCACATCCAGCGGACCCCGTCTTCTGGCCCATGTAATCCTGCAGGGGAAGAAGCGTTGCATCCGCGCATAACAAATCCAAATCCAAGGCAATACATTCATGCGCACAGAATCGAGCGGACTTCCTAGGACAAGCAGCCCCCGTCCATATGGTCGTCGAGGTAGAAGAGATCTACGGGGAGATCCCAGTATCTCCCAGCACACCTGAGGTCCTCTGCCTGGAGCAGCTCAGATTGTGTGCGCATGACCCCTGCTCAGGA